AATTCAAAAAAGCTGATTTTGGTCAAGATGCTATGCTAGGCTTGTGATACCAATACAAAACAAAAGACAATCCCTACCTTCAGGATACTTACTTTCTACTAGATGATACAATAGATACACAGAGAGACAGACCTGAGACAATTAGATCATGGCTAGTGCCTCATACTAGGAATCAAAAGCTAAACAATAAATAAATAAATAAATAAAACTTCATGCCAGAAATAACCTTGAAAGGAAGTAGGAATCCTAAAAGGCTAAGAAGGAATGAAGATGGAGTACATTCCAGGCCCGGGGGGACAGCTTGGACAAACCCTTTCAGAGAGAGGTCTGGAATGTCAATTTGAGGGAATAGTGTGTAGGCTAAGTGGAGGGAACAGATATATATGAAATTTGGAACCAGATTATTGAGGGATTGAAATTGGGGACTCAAGGGTTTACATTTTATACTAGAGGCAATTCGGGAGCCACTGAAGATTTTATTTTATTTAAAATATATTTTATTTAAAATATATTATATATTATAATATATTATATATAAATATATATTAATTCTGTGATAAATTATGCTTCTCTCCTAGGAGTTAGCTAGCACAGTGGAGAGAGAATTGGGCTTAGTCAGAAAGAACTGAATTCATATCTGGACTCAGACACTTACTAGCTGTGTGACCCTGAGCAACGTATTTAGCCTCTGCCTCAATTTTCTCAACTGTATAATGGCATTAATAATAGCACCTACTTTCTAGGGTTGGTATGAGGATAAGAAAAGAGATAAGCTTTATAAAGTGTTTAGCACAGTATATGGAACATGTTGTTTTTGTCATTGTTATTCAGTCATTTCAGTTGTGTCAGACTCTTGGAGATAAGAGAGAAAGAGAGAACCCAATCTGGGGTTTTCTTGGCAAATATATTGAAGTGTTTTGCCAGTTCCTTCTCCAGGTCATTTGACAGACAGGTTAAGTGACTTGCCCAAGGTCACACAGCTAGTAAATTTCTGAACCAGATTTGAACCCAAGAAGATGAGTCTTCCTTACTCCAGCCAAAGGACTCTATCCACTGCATCACCCAGCTGCCTATATGGCACATGGTAGGCCCTTAATAAGCCTTTGTTCCCTTCCTTCTTTCCTTTCTCTTGGTAGAGAAGCAATGGACTATGTGGATTGAATGAGGCATATATTGTGTGGCACAGTCATTGTATTGGTTTGTTTTGCTAAACTATTACTTTGAGGTGAGTGTCATAGGCAAGTGAAAAATATTTTTTTTAAATCAATAAAATATCTTTTGAAAAATAAAATAAAATACTTTAGCCTGTTTCCCTGACTTGGTAAGCAGATAATGGTGAAGGTAATTTAACTTTTTTTGATGATGGAGAATTCTTTTTAATGTCTTAATATCATCTTTGTAAATAAAAATTCTCACTGTATAGAACTCTATATACAGCATGGAAAAGTAGTTCACATATATAGTGATTATCAGGGAATGATGAAAGAAATGAGGAAAGAGTTTCCATTCCAGGCATTGCACAATGGCTCCGCATCAAAGAGGAGAGAGACAGGACAGGGAGTATTTCACTTTGGCTGGCATGTATTTATTTGGAAGTTGCTTCTAACCCCCCACCCGTCCATCAAAACTTGTATCATGGGGGGAAAGTTCTCCAAAGTCTCTAGTGTAGCAAACTGGAACTAAGAACATGATGGAGATTAGCACCTCATCTCACATTGATTTCTCCTCAGAGCTTTTCTCCCCCTTCAGCAACCCAAAGAGAGGTTGGAATGGCACCTTCTTTCTTGAAACTAGAAGTCAGAAGAGCTTGAAGAGACTGAAGAGACCCATCTTTTCTCTTGCTCTTAACGCCACCCTGCACCTCAGGCAGGTGTCAGGGATTGATATTTACTCATGAGTAGAGTCGCATGCCAATGGACATTGAGGTTCTGATTGCAGATATCGATTGCAGCCCATCTGTGTTTGCCCAGGCTTTGTGACTCCTATTAGAAATAAGAAGAGGTCCACCTAACATGTCAAAGGCATTTCTTGATCTCTCCTAACATCCCAGAAAAACACCAGTGGAGAACTCTGGTTGCCTACCCGTCAGCCCTCACTCACATCGCTCAACTAGTGTATCTTTTCTTCCTAACATAAATTTCCAAACCTTAAACTTTAAATTACTCTCACAATTTAACTCTTTCACTCCTACTCACATACTGTTAAATGGAACTGGATAAAGTTACTGTGCTGATTGGGTCCACTTATAAAATTTATATTAGTTAATCCCAACTGGGACCTTACTACAGCAAATAAATCTTACCAATTTTCCCTGATTCCCTATCCCACTCACCACAGGTAGCTAGACGGTACAGTGAATAGAGTGTTGGGCCTAGAGTCACTATGACCTGAGTTCTACTTTGGCCTCATATACTTACTAGCTATGGGATTCTGAGCAAGTCATTTAACCTCTGTTCACCTCAGTTTCCTCATCTGTGAAATGGGAAGAATAATAGCACCTAAATCCCAGGGTTGTTGTGAGGATCAGTTGAGATGATATTTGTAAAGCACTTAGCATAGTGCCTGACAAATAGTAGGTGCTTAATAAATGCTTGTTCCCTTCCCCTGTCCAAACCTTTTCTTCTCTCTTTAAGCCTCCCATAACATTCCTGAATCCCCACTGTCTCTACTAAGAACCTCACCTCACCCTTCTGTGAAAAATAATTGAGGCCATTCTCTTCCTCTCTCCTATCTCACATCCTTCTGCCATCATCCACGACTATCTTCTCCTTCACTCCAGTCTCTGATAATGAGGTAGTCCTTTTGTTTCAAAAGGCCAACCCCTTTTACCCTTTTAGCCCATCCTTTCCCATCTTTTCCAACAGATTATCTTACTCTTAACCCCTTCTCTCTCCCTCTCTCTCTCTTCCTCTCTCTCTCTCTTTCTCTCTCTCTCTCTCTCTCTCTCTCTCTCTCTCTCTCTCTCTCTCTCAAAGCATAAATCTTTCCTAATCTACTGGCTCTTTCTCTAAGGTCTACAAAAACATTGAAGTCTCTCCCAACCTGAAAAGACTCTCAGTAGATCCTATCATGCCCACCAGTTATTATCTAGTATTTTTCCTTCTCCTCTAAATTAATCTTGAAAAAGCCATTTATAGTAATGTCTCTACTTCCTCTCCTCACGATCTCTCCTAAATTCTGCAATTTGGCTTCTGACTTCATCAGTCAACTAAAAGTTACCAATGTTATCTTATTTGCCAGATCTAATGGTTTCTTTTTAATCCTCATCCTTGTTGGCCTTTCTGGAATCTTTGATTTTTTTTATCATTTTTTCCTCCTGTATCCTTTCCTCTCTGGGTATTATGCCTCTGCTCTCTATAAGCTCCCCTCCTTCTTGTCTGACTATTCCTTCTCAAATCTTTTTTTTGTGGGAACTATATCCATGTCACAGTGGGTATTCTATAAGGGCCTCTTCTCGGCCCCCTTCTAATAATTTCTCACTTGGTGGTCTCATCAGCTCACATGGTTTCAATTAGCATTTCTCTGTAGATGTTTCCCATGATACATATTCATCCTTGGTCTCTCTCTTGAGCTCCATTCCAGTGTCACTGTCTATTGGATATTCCAAATAAGATGTTCTATAGATATCTCAAACTCAATATATTTACAACAGAACTTATTATCTTTCCCCTCAAATTCTTTCCTTATTGCTCCAGCTTCTACCATCATCTACTATAAAGTTACCATCTATGTATTCGATTTATCTTATACATTTGATTTCTATATGCTATCTCCCTCAATAGAATGCATGTTCCTTGAGGGCAGAGGGTGTTTTATCTTTTTTCCTTAGAGCTAAGCATCCTTAGTGTTTAATACAACTATAGACGTGCTTAGTAAGTGGCTGCCACATCATAAACTTTAACAAATGCTTGTTGATTGAATTCCTTGAAAACATCTTTTCCTTCTCTTCCTGGAAGTTCCTCCTAGGTCATATGTTACAGCCTGGTCAAAAACACCACTTGCCACTTCATTATACTCTCAGTATAAGATTAATTTTCACTATTTCAGGAATTATTTCATACTACAGCTCAGAGACATTCAACATCAGTAGAATGATGGTACTAAAAAGATGGGTGTTTGTTTCAAGGAGAAATTTGAAGTCATTAAAGGAGCTGTGTGATTTCCAGAAGGCAATCCAACCTTTTCTTCTCTTTCAAAAACAATAAGAAAAAAACGAAGTCCTAATCTTAAAAATGTAAATCCAAGGTTGACTTTGAGCATGGCACTTGACTTTACTGAGGCTCGGTTTCCTCATTTGTGAATGAAAGGGGTTGAACTAGATGGTCTGCAAGATTCCTTCCTGCCCTAAATCTGCCATGATATGACTACAATCTGGGCTTCCTGACTTTTCAGAATCCTATAGACTCCAGGGATTTCTGCGTTGAACTTCAGAATTTATCAAGTTACTAGTTCTAAGAATCCAGAAGTGGAAGGGGACTTAGAGAACAATCTAGACTAATTCACTCATGACTACGAATGAGAAAACTGGAAGTTTTCTTCCAGACGGAAATGACTTGCTCAAGGTTGTTCAGGTCAGAGGAGGCAGACATGGCATTCAAACCCAGATCTTCTTATTCTGAACCCTATCTTCGTTTACCAACACCAAACTGCCTTTGGAATTACTTAAGGACTCCGAAACTAGGAGGGGGTTAGCTCAGATTTGACTTTGATAGTTGGGGTCCAAAGCCCTATTGGGAGGGTACAATAACTCTTAAAGGTAAAATAATGGGGAAGAAGAGTATTTAGCTATTGCAACACAGGTCTTCATCCATTCCTCGTTCGCCTCATAGGATCCCTCCTGGATGGGTTTGTGTAATCAGGCTACACCCAGGGCCAACCAGTTTAGACATGCTGGGGTTTCCAGAGCCAACCAGTTCAGACATGCTGGAGTTTCAGGTAAATAAGAATGTAAAGGGGGTGGGAACATGCTCAGGAAGCTCCTGGAAGGAGTCAGTGTAGTTCTTCAGGTCTGGAGCTGAATGCAGACACTGGGGTGAAATGTGTATGTGTGTATATATCTCCAGCCTCTTCACACGCTCCAGTCCTGAAGCATAATTCGGAACAAGCAGGTGTGTTCTGGTTTTCTTTTCTTTTCTTTCCCTTGTAGACTTTGATTTTAGTCCCCAGCCAAAAGCTGAGTCTACTCTGGTGCCCTAGAGTTCACAGCTTCATTGATCTGAAAAACAGTGTGTCTATACTATTCTTGTCTATTATACTTAGGAGTGTAAAAAAATTGTCTTTGTGGAGAAGAGAAAAGTCTTCCTCCATATCTAGAGATCAATGATCATGGAAGACAAAGAAGAGTTGTCTCTCAAGCCAAGGGTATTTCCATTCAAAACAAATTTTAGAAGGTCACACCTTAAAATAGCCATGCTGGAAAATTCACTTGATTCATCATATAACAATACAATAAGAAGTGAATTTTGCAAGGTAAATTTGCCCCTGGAAGTTTGCCCAGAGCTCAGCTTTCTCTCTGGCTGATTTAGATTATCAGGTGTGAACATGTGACAGACCTAAAATGGAAACCTCAGTTTACAAAATAAAAATAAAATCCCCTTTGAATTTATGAAAGATAAAAAGGAATGGGGAAATGGCACCGAATTAATATTATAATTAATACATTTCTAGTAAAAAAAAAAAGCTATTATTTTGCTCTTGTTGAGTATTTTAAAATATTTGGAGCTTTTACAAGGAGATTTGTCAGCACTTCAATTCTACAATGATTCATTGAGTGCCCAAACTGTGCCAGGCACTGGGCTTTAGGAATTTTGAAGAATAACAAATTGACCAACAAAAGGTACTTTCCACATGACAAAATGCATTTGAGACAAATCGTTTTCTATCAGCTGACCAAAATAGTTGGTGTCAAACTGACATAGTTGAAACTGATAATTAAGCTAATTTAAATTAATAAATATAATGACTGATCAACAGTGATTTCTCAAGCACCGTCACTGTTAACTCTTTGTTTTTCCCACTTGTAAGGTGGGGATGATGATGCTTAGACTATTGACCACATAGGGTTGTGGTTGGCAAAAGTAGCATGGGAGTATACTATTTTTTAGCCTTAAAGTGCCCGATAAATGTGAACAATTATTATTTTTATGTAAAAATTCTTCTGATCTTTTCAATGGAGTTCAGATAGAAACACTCTAATCTACCGATAAGAAAGTATCTTACTATTCCTTTATGTGTATTGTTCAACAAACTACTGTACAAGCAGATGTCATAACTGCCTTTTGTAGTTCAATGAAAGTGTTAGGAGAAAGGCTTATCTCTGCAGGTTCACTCAGAGCATCTTTGCAGTAGCAAACAGGATCAGAAGAATATGTCATTCTTACTGTTATACAAGTATTTCCTGTCAATGATACATCAGACAGTCAATAAGTATTTATTATATGCCAGTAACTGTGTTTGTATGGAATATTAGAAATACTCAGGTATCTAACAATGGCTTCTTCAGGGAGACAATTTTGTTTAAAGTTTCTGGTTTCTCTGGATATGCTAATACTAGTTGACTATAGAGTATGTGTGACTCCAGGCATATAAATGAATATTAAAGTGATATGAAGACAAAAGGAAAACTATGGTGGTGAAGGTAGATTGGGAATCCGGAGATCTGGGTTCTAATCCAAGCTCTGCAATTCATTCAATGTGTGACCTAAGATAAATCATTTCTCCTTTCTGGGACTCTCTTTTATCACTTATAAAACTGATATTCTCTTAATGATTCCTATTGTGTTTGTTCTTCTTCTCCTTCTCCTCCTCCTCCTCTTGCTTTTCCTTCTCCTTCTCTTTCTCCTTCTCCCTCTCCCTCTCCTTCTTCTTCTCCCTCTCCCTCTCCTTCTTCTTCTTCTTCTTCTTCTTCTTCTTCTTCTTCTTCTTCTTCTTCTTCTTCTTCTTCTTCTTCTTCTTCTTCTTCTTCTTCTTCTTC